ACCTGATCCGAGCGTAAAGAATTTTATATATAATCGTGATTATTACTTCCCTTGAAACAAAAGGAGCGATTACTGATAACATTGTTCACGCTAATGAACTCGCGCGAAAGATATTATATCGAATATTTACACTTTCATCAGATAGTTAAGTTGTATAAGCAATAACTCCTATTTTCTACGAGGCGTTTGTTAATCTAAACTATTTTTCCATTTAGGAGATAATATACTTGTCAGTAGAGTTACTTTTTTTTTTTTTCATAAGTATAGGTGTTAATATGTCATTGAAATAATGCCCGATAAATGAGTAGCATATAACGATTTCTTGACAATAAAAAGAATTTGTTTAACGATTTCATAACTTTTCTCAATAAAGAATGATATTTTTGGGATTGCTCGATCAGTTCATTCTTACTTTTAATTTCTCTAATTTTTTTTTTCTATGTTCCTGGTCGCATATGACGTTCACTTCTATCTTGCATGTCCATGAAATCTTCAAAATCAATCCTACTTTAAAAAGTTTTGAACACGTAGACAAATTGTAGATATAGACCTAGTTTGCTCTGTACAATATAGACTATTCGTGAATAGAAGGAGTACCAAATTACTTTATAAATCGAATGAAATTTGGCACATTACAATTTCTCGTCAGCTACAAAAAGAAGAGACTTTATTCTCTTGGCAACGAATTTTCTCTTTATTGTTTCAGATGAAAGAGAACGATGGATTGCCGCGAAATGTTTGTATACGATGTGTCGGTACATTGGAATTTTTCTGCGACTTTTATGACTGCTGCCACACCACTCAAAAGCAGTTCTTGGAGGTTGTAAGCAACTCAATTTGTTGTCTGACTAAACCTTTCCCGCGTTAAACGCTCACGCTGATCCCCTATGGCCCAAGCTCATAGCATTTTCTTATTTCAAATTTTGTATATATATTATTTAAACATCGATGTCTTTTATTCCTCATCGTACAGAGATCAATTACCAGTACTTAGAACTTTGTTTTGTATTTCATAGACCAAGAATGAGTCGCAAGGAACGTGTCAACGAGAAAGCGATGCCGAATCCGACAAAGAGAATGCTTTTCCACCATCAAACGACGGGAAACGTAAAGTAAAAGCTTCATCAGTCAGAAAACAATCAGAAACACAGTCAGAAAACAGTTCAGTTTCGAAGAAAAAATCTGTGATAGATGCAACAGTTGAAAAAGATGAAAGAACAATAGTCCTCGGTAAAAGATCAGAATTTATGCATAGTGCAATAAAGATCATTTCACCTCTGAAAGATGATGCCTACAAGAGTATACATTCGCAACAACCCTTACGTCGTAAAAGAGGCAGAAAAAGTCAAGCAAAGAAGATGGAAGAAAGCAGTTTATTTTCGAGTCTTAAGAGGAAACTGCAAAACAATGTAAACAACGAAAATGTAACTGATAATCAGTATAAGAGGCATTGCCTGCGCGCAATCTCGATGAATAGTAAATCTAATAAGATTCATAATTCTGTGATACCATCCAAGTCTAAAATCGAAGAAGCTGCGAAGGGACAAATAGTAGTAGACGCGTTATCAAATGAATTTCTTGACAAAAATAACGAAAACGATCCTCTATCCAATAATAGCACGCTCGAAACTAATAACAAAGACTTGGTTGCAGTTAAAGATTCCGTGAAGAAGCAAAGCAAAGCGATATCGGTTATCGTGAAGCAAGAAAAAGGGGAGACTACGGGTACATTTTCTCAACAAAGTAGAAAAACAAATGAGCTCGTCTGGATTCCTAGTGATATGTTGATGCAAGGAGAAGAAAATTTCGTAACTGTTAAAACTCCAAAGGTTCAACAGGACATGGAATCGTTGCACCTATTAGAGGAGGAAACAAAAGAAATTAGTAATAGTACAAGTGATTGTACAGTACAAGCTGATGATACAAAGCATTTCGATGGTACAACCACCGCTGCTCCCGAGGATCTGAAATCCAAAATATTCACAGAACAAAATCGTGAGACCGTTATACGTTCCTTTCAGACTAACGAGAACATCATTCCAAAAGAGATACAGGTAAATAAAACGGAACTAGATGTTAAAGTGGATACGACGAATGAGAATATACAAGATGATTTGGAATCTGATGAAGGCGATATGTCGTTGTCGCAACGACTCATTCGAAATAGAAAGAAAAGAGATAAATCGTTCGGGAAAATCTCCCAGTTGATAAGCAACGAACAGAAAGAAGCTATCGAAACTTATTACGTGGTCGACATGTCGGTCGTTAACTCGGCTGAAGTGCAGCAGAATTTAACTATAATCGATACAAAGAATATACGCTGCAACATCTGTGGTACTTTTTATCTTAGAATGGACAAGTGTCAGGCAAGTTTTAGTAATATCGATTACGAACGATTTAATTCGGTTGATTTTCACGATCGATTCAAGTAATTTTTATTATTTATTATCGTCACAGGTGCATATTTGGGGGCATTTACAGATGAAACCTTACAAGTGCACGGAGTGTGACTTTGCGACGGTAACTGTTACCAATGTTCGTTGTCACATTAGAAAAAGTCATCTAAAAATTAAACCGTTCGCGTGTAATCTTTGCGAACGTAAATTCGCAACTGCCGTTTTATTGGGAGAACATATTAATTCTCATACAGGTGACCGTCCGTATAAATGTAAACTTTGTAACTTTGCAAGCTCGAGTCGACAAATGCTGAATTATCACAACAGTAGTCACAAACCATTAAAGGTAAATTAAATAAGACTTTGACGCGTATTAACGACGGTATACACTTTCATTTTGCGTTGTTTAAAGGTACTAAAAATTTTCCAGGATATTACATGCAAAGTTTGTAACAAGGAGTTTTATTCGAGGGGCAGATTACGCGCGCACATGATCATACACAATAAAGACAAAGTTGTAATGTGTCAATTATGCTCTGCGTATTTATCCAGTCAGGAATCTCTAAACACGCATCACAAGAACGTTCACATGCAAGATTACGTATGTAACGTATGTGGCAAATGCACCAAATCGAGGAAAGCTTTGCACAATCATCAAAATGTAAATTATATTTGATTATATTGTTAACTATCGAAAGAGAAATATTTATTATTATATTTGGTAATATTACTTAGCAATAAAATAACGAATTTCTTTATAGGTTCATTCCGCTGCGAAGTATAAGTGTTCTCTGTGTCCAAATGTATACAAGAGTAGTCAAATCTTGAAAGAACACCTTCTAAAACACGAAGGTATTAGAAAATACAAGTGTAACGTCTGCGGAAAATCGTTTGCTCAACAATCTCATTTAGCAGCTCACATGGCTGTTCATAGTAAAATTAGGTACGTTTTAAAATATCTTTTGGATAATACATTATAATATTTTTAATTACATATTTCATTTGTTATAGATTTCATTGTCCTGGGTGCAACAAAGCTTTTAACCGGCACGATAACATGAAAATCCACACTAAACGGTGTAAACTATTTCTCCAAAATCCAGATCTAAAAAATGTTATAACCAAGAGAAAAAGGACTACTTCGTTTAGGAAAACGACAGAATTAAACGAAGATTCAACGAGTGGGGGTACATCGTATTCCGACACTAACGTTGAAAATGAAACTGTAGATTCATTAGGGCAGAGCGAAGTCAAGAACGAAAAATGTAAGATGAATCTCTGTAAATTAGGACTGAATATTTCTTACATCAACCCCGTGGATAAAACATGGAATCACGATAGTATGTATAACGAAGCAGGAGGAAGTACGGGATCTGTCAACATTAATTTAATTCAAATCGCAAATATCAACGAGACCATAATTCCAGATAGCGAAAATCTAATTCGCGAGAACATATTAGGGCCAGAAAGTTTTTAACAGTGTTTTTGTAGACGCGTAGATGAAGTGAACTCGAATGTGTTTCAAACGAATGCTGTGAATCGTCCACCTTGTAATTATGGTGCACAAAAGTACAAACGCACAGTATAACAAACGTTATTTGTAAGTACTTGAACCTCAAGTCCAAAATACTGGAATAATCCAATTGATCGTACAGTGTTTTGGATTACTTATACTCGATATATTGAAACAATCATTCCTGTGCTTTAATAGATTAGAATTTCAATCAGAACTTTAGATCTGAGGTTACATTAATATTTTTCTAACGATATTGTACCATATTTTTTCATATTCGATTAGACTTAGATAGACTATTACAAGAAAACCGGTCTGCACGAACGATAATTTGATTAGTGATATTTTTGTATACTCGAACGATATTTAATTTTGTATCGTTCGCGCGTTTCGGTTTTCGGTTTACGAGTTAGCGAGCTCATCCTTGATGGAAACTTCAATTCCACGACCAAAGAAAGCGCCATTTTATTCTTTAACTAGCAAAGGAAGTTACGTCAAGGTAAAACGAGGTACCTTTACGCTTATTTCAGTGATAAGGAAGGAAATAAGACTGATAATCGCTATTAAAATTCGTAACGAGAAGTTCCTATCTAAAACAATTAGGCCTAAAAAATTTGATGTTCTGCATTTTCATCGTGATCATGATTGTACCGATGTATTAATCATTTTGTTTACTATTAACTTAAGAAAACTAAGCGGAATACTTGCCATTGAAACCAAACGTAATGTTGATAATGCGAAATAAAGAAATTTTCTTTTTGAAGATCTAATTTTATTACTTAATTTTAAATATTTATATTTAGATATTAGTAAATTAGATATCTATGTTTATGGTTTGATTCGAAAGTCAAGCTGAGTTTCGATGAATGAATTAATAAATAGAAAAGAAAGGTGACACGTGGGTCGAGAGAAAGTCAACGTTGACCTAAATTTGTACGTTTATCTTCGGAGTTTGTACAAAAGTAGTACGTCCAAGTACATCTTTCGACAGTCGTGCGTTCTATTTCAGCGCGTAAACACGCTTCTTCTTCATTTATAAGTCGGTCTCGTCGACACTTTTTACCAAAGATCTCTCGTCTATAAATCTGTACAAATCGATTTCATTACGGGGCATATTAGAAATGTTTTACTTTAATTAGGAAAATAGCTTGCGAACCAAAAAAACGATTTGTTACTTGCATCGCAATTGAAAAAAAGCCATAATAATCTTAAATAAGTTACAAAATCGCTGGTGACCAAGTGAATTAGAACTTGACTGTCGTTCAAGCGACTATAACATTCTTTAATAATTTATGATTCGATAACATGATTTATCGATTAATCACAGCAAGAACGCGAATTGACGTTTGAAAACTAAACGCTAGTGACAGTATTTTTCCACTCTTTAATCAACGGAATTTCAATCTTGATAATACCAAATAATGAGACTCGTGTACACAAAGTACTTATTACAAAAATTTCCAATTGAATCATACTTGAGTGTGTGTCAGTGATGTTAGAAATGTGGTAGTGATAAGCTACCAATTATATTGACTGAATAAACGTTACGCTGCTACCAGTGAGTTTTTACTTTTCAATAAGTTAACAGCGCCTACAATAATGTCTCTCGAACCACCGAAATACGAACTTTTGAACAAGGAAGACACCGCCAAACTATTATCAGTATTCAAAGGAGAAAGAACCGGATATGTACTCGTAGGCCCGAAGAAGTGGTTCTTTCCTTTTAAATACACGGAGCAGGCTAAAGGATTTTACAATTTTAAAGCAAGACCCGATGACACATGGGTCGTATCCTATCCCAGATCCGGTAAGTTTGATATGCCTTTTTTAACAAAATATTCCTTATTGAAAATGTAATCGTTAGATTCGATTTTATTTTTTAAAATATTCAATAATATTTGAATTTTGTTTATCAGGGACAACCTGGACCCAGGAATTGGTGTGGCTGCTGTCGAATAATTTAGATTTCGAGAGGGCGAAGAAAGAATTGCTTACGGACCGATTTCCGTTTCTTGAGTTAGTATGATTTAAATCTACCTTTCACGAGATACTGAAAATTTATCCGTGTCGAAATTGTTGATACAGGATGATACGAAAATACAATTGATACGATGATCTTCGGATCGCTGTTATTGAGAAGATTATTTGAGACAGATAAACGCATATGTATATACGTATACGTTTATCGTAGAATTTTCGTCACAGCTATAAAAATCATTCGACAGTTTTCTTTATCGAGTAACGGGGCTAACGCTAGCGTAATGTCTCGAAGAACTATGTCAACCATGACAAATTACATGGTTTCTTCGCTGTCTGTGTATAACATCTCGTGACCCACATCGCGTGCAAGTGAAAACGGGAAATTATACACTCGAGAGAAAAAAATGAGAACATAAACAAATCGTAAATAAAACATTACATCGGCACGCGAATCATTTTCTCCGGATTTCTATCGACAATATCGCACGAGAAAAACATATCGCTTTTTAACAAATTTAAAAAAAATAAACGTACTTTTATCTAGATTCAGTATATTTCATCATCCAGAAGTGACGCGTGAATTTGTGGAAATGAACGAGGGCGATAAATGCAAACAAGAATTGTGCAAATGCCTAAGTTTACCAGGATACGAGATGTTAGAGAAACTTCCGTCTCCCAGATTCGTCAAGACACACTTTCCGTTCAGTTTACTACCCGGAATTCTAGATACCGGTTGCAAGGTAAAAAATCAGGCGCCTGTACAAGAATAGTTATCACAGGAAAAAAGTTGAAATAACGAAATACGTTTGTTCCATGAAAGATAGTGTACGTCGCGCGAAACCCGAAAGATGTTAGCATTTCTTGGTATCATTTAAATAGAGGGATCAAGACTCAAGCATATGAGGGTGACTTCGCGCAGTTTTGGGACTTCTTCCAAAATAATCTCAGTAAGTATCGTTTTAGTTAAAAATGAAACAACAAAATATAACTTAATCGTCTTCACTTTTAGCATCATGGAGTCCTTACTGGGAACATTTGAAAGAAGCATGGGCAGTGAGAGATCACCCGAATCTTTTGTTTATGTTCTACGAAGAAATGCAACACGTGAGTCGAAGAAAAATTCGATCGAAACCCGTGTAAATAACTTTCGTGATATCTTTGTTTGCACATTTTGATTTTAGGATTTTACGAAAGCTGCGAAAAAGGTGGCGAAATTTCTTGGGAAAACGTACACCGATAAACAAATAGAAGAATTAACGGAATACTTGAATTTCAAAAACTTTAAAAATAACCCAATGGTAAATTCGATCGTATTGAAGGACTGCGGTATTATTACAGAAGACGGAATATTTATTAGAAAGGGACAAAGCGGCGGTTGGAAAGACGTGTTCACACCGGAACTTAACGAAAAAGCTGACAAATGGATAGAGGAGAATCTTAAAGGAACTGATCTCACTTTCCCATTTTTCGACAATAATATTTGTAATAAATGTAATTAATATTTCATGTAATCATGATTATCAATGTACATAAATTGCTCTGCGAAAAATATGATACAGTATTGCTTAAAACAAGATGGTATTAGACAACAAATAAAAAGATTAACCACTTAAACGTAAGAAGGATGCTATTTATTCTATAGAAAAGTGCGCAAATATTATTTACAAAATAATAATAACAACGTCGTTTACCTGTGTTCTTGTTTTTTCATATTTTCGCATTTCACGACTAAACGTACCACTACATTAGTTCTAAAAGCATTCCTTAGTTCATTTTCTGCCATTTGTGCTGCCGTGCGCAAACTTCGTCCACGCTTGCTGAATAAAATACTATGGTAACGCTCTTTGGCACATTCTAACAATACAGTAACGCTGATAGTTCCTTCTTTGCCAACATCCAAATGCTCTATTGTTAGTTTTATATTGTACGGAATTTCCTGCTGCAAGTTATCCATCAATTTAGCTCTAACCGTTTCTGCTACTACAGTTTGAGGCGGTTGGTCAGTGTACACATCATTTCTGTATTGCCAATCTTTTAGCTTGGCTGAATCGAGCAAATAATTCTGAAACATATTTTCGAACATGTAGGACGTTAGTAACGATTTACGATTATTTTTATTTTAAACATTTGAGTCTTTAAACACTTATGTCTTACCCTTAAATCATCTATACCATCTCCGGTAAGCGCAGATATCATGAAAATATCGTCAAATTTTAGAGACTCTGATTTTTGTATAAATTGTCGTGTCATCTCTAGCAACACAAATTTATTCTTTAGCCTATCAACTTTATTAAAAATCAATAATAGCGACGAATCATTCCTCCTATTCTTTAGATAGTCAAGAACATATTGATTGATTTTATGTCTGGTATAGATATTAGTTGCATCTTGTAATAATCCGATAACATCTGCTTCGACTATGGATGACAGCGGATCTTTAGTAAATGTTTCTTTTAACTCGTACTTCTTTCTTTCGTATTGTGACGTAAATCCAGGTGTGTCCATGAATACAATTTGCGTATCGCCTTCCGAATATACCGCCTCGCATTTGTGCATCGTGGTATGGACTTTTGACGAAGTAGGACATAACTATTTATCGAACAGACATTCGTTTTAAATAAAATACTTCGGTTACAGCGACGAATTAAGAACGTAAACAGAAATACATACCGATCGTTTTGCAAGGTTATTTATCAGCGTACTCTTTCCAGAATTTGGCAATCCTACAATAGCAACTTTTAAAAACTTTGAATGTTCTCGTCGTAATATCACGTCCTCGTCGGGTTTTAATGTATATTCCTCTTGGTTAACCTCATTGTGCGGTACAGTAGAGAATGTAATTAATCGTTTTAAAAAATGCAATTCAATTTGACGTGTACACTTGCGAATTGCAAATAACATTATTTGGAATATTTTTGTCTTTTAGTATAATTCTTGAAACATTGTTTATTCGTCTAAATATTCCTTATTGTAATTAGATTAATAGGTTATATTAGACAGGTATCGGTGCTTTTTAAGCTCTATGCTGCTCTACTTATTAACTATACGTTAAAACACAACAACGGGTATCAGTTTTCTTCTGCTGTCTTATATCTCAGTGATAAAGTAGTTTTAAATGCGAACTTTGCCGGACTTTATTCAACTTTATTGAATACGGGAACACGCGAAATTTTCATTTGCTTGTGTTAGTGATTTAGTGCCAGTGGCACCATCGGTGGGAAAACGCCCAAGTTTGTAGTGAAACTAGTTCCCATCGTTGCTCCTAGATGGCGCCACTGATTCTTTTAATCAATTAATATTTATTTTTCATAAATAGATCATTAATACGATTCTTTTGCTTTATAGTATAGCAGTATATTAGCTAATACGTTAAATTTATCATTTTTATGAATAGATATTTAATGGAGCATTGATTATCGACCCTTTCGTTAATCGCGTCATCTAGGAGCAACAGTGGGAACTATTTTGACTAAAAACTTGGGCGTTTTTTAACGAGATGGCGCCACTAATTAAAACGTCGATAATTATTAATAATTATTTATTAAAATAATAAATTTGATATATTAACTAATATATTGCAATATTATAAAGTATAGAATAGTATTCATTAAGCGTTTATTGACCGCGAGATGTCGATACTGGTCGATACCATTTGTTGGTCCATGAAACGCACCTTGTCTGCATTGGCCTACATCTGTGATCACATCTGTGATGCTAAACGCCAGGAATTCAAGCATAATTCAAGCGGCAGCTCGTTTCCTCGTATTGACGTGTGTTATTTGAATTCAGATTATCGCATATGTGTATATAGAATTTAGCTGCAAAGTCTATCGCATAATCGAACTTCTGGGATAGGGAAGTCAAGGTGTGTTACAAATTATTTCAAGTATATCCTGCTGGCAACGATGAATACAAGAAATGCGCCGATGCAATGCATCGATTTAAAATGCACTGGCAATGGAACTTAAGCTAGGACCTTCCGCGAGCTACCTGCGAAAGTACTTATGAAAGTGATAAGAGAAATGTCGGATCGCTTATTGTATTAATATCGAGGATACGGCGAATAAAGATGCATCTCTGAGAAAGATCAAACGGAGCATGCATTTCTGGATTAATAAACCGGCGGGCAGGTACTACGGTTTCACTGGCCGCCGATACCCCGCCACACCTCTGCCAAAAACGCGCTTCAGTAAGATTATTTGAAATCATTTTCTGTTTTTATCTCCTTTTTCTACACCTAAATTTCGGTAACCCTTAGACTGCCAACTTGTCCTATATAAGATAAATAATGTACCTGTAACAAATCTTGATAAAAAGATGTTCATGGGTTTTGCAGATCGTTGTCGATACAATGCAGATTTAAGACAAATGGTTACTCCGCTTCACCGCTTCCAAAACCTGAATGCCACAGGAAACATGGCCGGTCCTAGTAATCTGAATAATTGCAGGATGATACAAACATCTATAACAGCTAATAATAACGAAACTCAAAACAGGTTTCCAGTTGGCTCTAGTCAACGCATCCAGCTGAACAACATCTCCAAGTAATTAAAGAAAAAGGTCTACTAAGAGGATTCTGAGGAACATGTTCTTCCTATATACAGGGTGACTCACTTATACATGTCTATCAACAGAAAGTACTTATAAATGATTCGCCCTCGATTACAATTTTTATTATTCAGAAATAATTTTAGTTAGTAGAAAAAAAAGCGACAAAAAAAGGCATTTAAATCGTTTTTATTTATAGTAATGTGACAACTGCTGGGAATACTCAGTTGATATTATCGAATACGACTCCGAATGGAACGAACAGAAGTCTTTTGGACTTCTCGGAATTCAATGACGCGGAACTAACGTGTTATAGATTCCGTTGTTGTGTCTGGATATCGTTCGTACTCACGACAGTATTCGGCGGTGCCGCAAAATTTTACTTCGCCGATCAAGTGAGTCAAAATTAATATATTTCAATTAAAAGTAATTTTATTCTATTTGAATAAAATTGATTTAACGTTAAATTACTATATGAACAGGGCCAAGGTATAGAAATATTGGCAATTTGGGGTCTAGCGACGTTATTAGTATTCGTGTGTTTGTACTCTATTCTATGTCGTCGAAGGCAACGCAACAACCATCAAGAGCATCGGATTCAAGAAGAGCATATCGCGTCTGTAACAACTACAAATACAATACCCAATGAGACTATTAGACCCATTTCCGTAGTAAGGCAAAATCCACCACCACCCTATCATATAGCCATTTTAATTCCGCCTAATTCATCGGACGAAGCTCCGCCACCGTCTTACGATAAAGTCATGCGATAAATTAATGTTAATATTAACTCATAATGTATAGAACTCTATCACTATTTTTTCATGTAATACATTTTTTAATGATGAAACATTGATACAATATACCGTCATAGTACACCATTAAACACTAATGAGCTTTCGATTCATGGAAATAAAAAGAAAAAGGAAAAAAAATGCATCAAGAAATGTTCTAGGATAGGCAAACTTTACATCTGTGATATACATAGCGATGCAACATCGACATCATTCTCGATAATATCTATAACTTAAAGGAAGCGTAAGAAAACTATTGCGGGCATTATACAATGTCTAGGCCACGAGACGAATATGCTTGCGATACTTTGCGTTTGGTGATAGAAAATGTGCATTTTAATTTTTATACTTAAATGTACGTTCGTAATTTTAATCGCGAAACATACGAAATAGCGTACAATGGAAAAAGAATTTTTTTGTTCTATTTCCTCGACGAAATATATTTTTGCAAGCTATTTGCATAAAAGAAAGTTAATCATGTAATTGTAATTTATGTTAAGTTAATATATCCGTTTGTTTAGAATAAAAATATAATTTCCGCAACAAAACGAAGCAAGATTTAAATCGGCGCACAAACGCCACTCGTATTCGATGTATAAATTGCTCACTCTTCCCCACAAACCGATAACTCTAAGCATGGATAAAATTACAACTTTTATCGCATAATAATTAATAAAAATATAGATTACGTATTATATGTGTTTTATAATATTTAATTTTGCACATGTACATAATATGGGTAAGTGTATACATACATAACGCACACAGGACAAGCACGCATACATCTTTGTTAGCCTCCAAAAAAGTTTTCAACTATGGACATAAACAGAACTAACATGTACGAATTACAGCTTATACAGTAACTTCGTCTTACGTTTAAAACAAATTTATATAATATATCATCATATAGAATATTTAATTTTACTGACTAACAATAAACTTCAAGCTGTACTTTTATATATCAAAATATAGCTTGAAATAAAGGAGGTGTTGTTACTTCTTCGTTTCAAGTACCAAACTCGATACAAATTTTTATACCGTACTATGTTTGTATAGCTTTATCGTGTAATGATTAACTGTAGGTGCTCATTTTGTATATATAACGTGTTTAAATAATATTTTACTACGAGATTTATGTATTAAAGACACATTCGACTTTCTCCATATACATAAAAAGATCGAGTAAATTGGACCAATACGAAGATCAGATGTGCGGACGAAAACATAAAGAGGTTATAATTTGAATATCTTCCATACTTCATCGATTAATTCCATTATGTTTTACGAAACTAGAAAGTTCAGACAATTTAAAGCTACGCATAAACAATATGTAACAAGACGGTAATAAAATAGAATAAAGTTACCAACATAAAAAAATATGTTGCATAGAAAGACAATATAAATAAAAAAAAATTCAAATTTCTAAAGTTTTTATTTTTAATTTTTACGAGTATAAAAAGTAACAGAATTGAATAATTAAAATTGTATAGTTCATTGATGCATTTACAATTATATAAATAGATATCTTTCCTCTTTTAATACTTAAAATTTAATAAATAAATAAAATTATTTTACACTCTGCGAAAAATAATTTTGAATATTTAGATTACAACAAATAATATACCGAATTTTGTAGCGCTACGAGATAAAAATTATTCGTGATACTCAAGATTAAACGATCCAATGTATATTAAACTCTACGAAGTATTAAATAGTCTTTAAAAAATTTAACTACTACTACACAGACATACAAAACCAGTATTTTACAAGTGTATACATTCTTAATGAATATAGCTCGAATACGTTTCATAAACGGAAACAAATACCTAAAATAATGTATTCTTATTATGATATTAAAGCTAGCAAAAAAACGATAAGTAACTGCAACTGAGTCATTACTTAGATTACGTTCTTTGATTCGGTTTAATGATTTGTCACAGTTGCATCTGTAAAGGCACTTGCATAATTGCAAATATTTACACATCTATCAGTGACAGCTCAGAATTATAATATTACATTATTATATTGTTTCGCGATCGGCGTTTGTAAAATCAGTTCTGTAACTCTGTGTAATAGATTTATAAGAAAGACTACACTTATAAAAATGTCTTCCCCCATTACTCAAGAGATAGTCACTTTTGTTATCACTGGGTGCAAATTCTAATAGATCAATCATTTAGACATGTTTTTATTATATTATGGATACGATACTTTATACCAGAGTAGTATAGAAATTTCAGTAGTAATACTAATCATAATTTGCTTGATAATGTGTACCTTGCTTAAACTCTTTGAATTTCGAATAACTTTACGTCGGTATCATACCAAATCGGTGGTTCAACGTTTCTAAGATATATAACACCCCACATATACGTTCTGAACCAAGCAGTTGTCCCTGCATTTGCTTGATATCGTCTGATAAGAATGGGATGTGGTACTGGTAACAATCCAACTAAAGTGCCGTGTTGTAAAAATTTCAAAATTTCACTTTCATCTGTGAGACCTCTAAAACATTTAAGAAACACATAATCAAAAAAAAAAATATATATATATATATAATCGATTATAACCTACAATATTCGAATAATTTTTATTTTGACAAACTTTAAAATGTAAAAATGATAAATCGTGTTTACTTGTCAATGCATATTTTTTCAACTTGCGGTACAAGAACTTGGAGTAATCGCATAATGGTTTGCAATGGAAGTTTACTCTTCCATTGATACACCCAATCGCTAGACGGAACCCATTGATTTACATTCTTAGAGGAAGTCGTGTGTTCCGCAACTCTGATACCTCCTTTCTGTTTAAATAATAAATAAGTAAGTTCTAAATATTCAAGTCATAGATGAGCGATATAGTTATTTTCTTACCGGTATAACGGTACTTTTTGTAGTATTCATTAAATCCTCAGGACTGTCCGTGTTGTTTTCGTGATTGGTTTTTGCTACGTCAACGGTTACCGAAGGACTTAACGGATGTGCAGATTCTTTTTCGGTCATTTTTTCAATACCTATCGTAAAAGTAATTGGTTAATAGAAATTTTATTAAATTTGGCGATTGGTATTAATGCAGTAACGAGAATGTACCTGGAGTTTCCAATAAAGACGCTTTCAAAGTTCCAGGTTCTGCAGGTTGTGCAGGATGAGATCCTTCCATCGCTGCTTCGTTAACATTTTCACTAGATGTACTAGCAGGTACGTGTCGACGTTGTCTCTTGCTCAGAGACTTTGCAATTGTATTACAATCGCTTGGTAAATTCGCTAACGCGTGAAACACTTGTCGTTTACGTATTATAGTATAAACCAAGTTACTGTTGCCATCAAATTGATACTAATGACATGAATTTTGTAATAAATTTATTCAAATAAAAAACATTCTCTCGCAAATGTATAATTACCTGTATGATATTGTTGAAGATTTCAAGGAGGAAAAATACCAAATGATGATTGGTAGGAGCCGAAAATAAAAACCATGGAGTACTAAATGCCTCGAGTAAATGTAATAATTTCGTACTAGCCACCATTGATAATGTTTTTAAATATGGAGAAACATTGACAAGAATTGTTAGTAGACAATCGAATAATGGCTGTAGCCTTTGATGTCCAGTTGTGATTATCTTGTGGAATACGGTAACTAACAAGTCAGCATGTGTACCTGTAACAATTTTATAATTTTTTATAGCAGTTTAAATAATACTATCTATTGCTATAGTACCTGTAAAAACTGGAATATCCATAGGTACTGTGGCTGTATATGGTTTGTTCAATCTGACCCCAAAGTTACGCTCTCCGCTCAACAAAAGTAGAATAAATACGCCGATATGCATTAATCCAACTCGAGCTACAAAATTATTGTCAGTCATTATACATAAAACAAAAAATTATTTCTATATATTTAATTTTCCAAATTTTGAAAAAACTCACATTGATCTGCACGTGAATCGTTTAAATGATACAATATCGGTACCAATACTTCGAGAACATCTGAACTCTTTAGTACATAGTATAAAAATTTTTTGTTATAATCACACATTTTCCAGAAAAACACCAATAATTCTTGGTGAAAGTGTACTTTTTTAGTCGAATTTGGTAAATATGTCTGCATCAATGGATTATTTAATAATCTCGTAATACCTTTCAGTACAAACTGAAAATCTATAAAAATAGATTTTTAATATTACATATTTCTTCGTTTAAAGTTAATACAATCAAATACAGAGATAAATTATACCTTCATCTCTGTGAATACGACTCAGATAATTAATAAATAAATTATCCCCAAGAGTTCCTTCTTCTAACGTGGCACCACCGCTGGTATCATGATCCAATGTTACTATAAGAATTTGTAAAGAAACGTCGACGAGAGGTTCCAACGAATCGGTAAATAATAAATGGTTATACGGTACTCCGAGTCCAACAGGATCGTACGCGCATACTGTATTTAACAGAGATGTGAACATAGGCAGTGCATGTCTGTTACAGAAACGTGAAAGTTTTCTCTTTAAAACGTGGGAATTCGTCTTTTTATTATATTCGTAAGCTCTCTTACTAATTATTATAGTAAAATTTGTCGTAATTCACCTGTTTTCAGAACTAGTCAAATGTTGGATCCATCTATTTGGTGTAACCGAAAGATCCATAGGGGGATTGTACATGGTTTCACTGAAGCATGTAAGTAACAGTTTCAATAACTCTGTTCTATTTGAATCTAAAATTGGATATCTAGGTGGCGAATGCGCGAATCCTACACCAGCTTCCCAAATATATTCGCAGCTATCTATAGATTGCAATTCTTCTGCTTTATCCTGAGTCATTGAAATATAATTTGTTAATATTTTTATTATCTTTGTATAAATGAAAATACTTACAGGACCAGATTTCCTATTTGCAGCCACTGTAAAATCAGGGCAAAATAACAAGTCCTGAAACAGATACAAATTATAAAGAAAACAAATTTATTAATTTTATTATTTTTAAGAAATAAGTTATCTTACACAAAGCGCATTAAGTAGAGAATGTGCCAGTGGAATGCTTTCTTCGTCTTCTTTACCAGGCAAGCTAGACCAAAAGAATCCCTTCCAATCGGGATCCTCAAAAATATAAGGCAATAGTCTTGTCAATAAACGGCAACAATTCAAAACAGTTTGTTGTTCTCTTTGAGTTCTACAGCTATTGTCGACTGCTTTTACTAATTTCTCCACTGCTTTGTAACATAGTGTAGCTAGATTTGACGGCGCCTCTTCCCTTAGTATACGAATTTCAGGAGCAGGAATTAAAGTAAATATGTCTTGGACATTAGTCACATTTTCAGACCAAAATTGATCCCAGAATGTATCGTCCGTTGCATCGATCACCTACAATTAAAAAATAAACAGATATATTGGCTTAACCTAAATTATCACTCGTTAGAGAACATTCGTGAAGTCGCGTAATATATAAGATTGAATGTAATTTACAAAAAAAGGGATAATTATCGATCCAAGTAAAGAAGCGTGTTTTGGTAATAATAAAAATTGATCATATGGCGATGAACGAGATAATAAACAATAATTTTTACTTGAGTTTTCGACGTCAGCTGAACGACCGCTTTTCTAAAGTTTAATTTTGTGTCAGCATTTCCCATGTTGTTCTATTTTTTATCGACTTACAATTAAAAGATAACGTTTTAAATGATAAAAGTGACTTGTTTCGCTTTAAACAAGAACGATTACGGTCACCGCCATGTTTACACGCTAAACAGTACAGCTGACAACGAGTATAGCAAAGTACCACAGCAGGGTTACCAATAATAACTTATCTTTATTTTTTAACAATAAATTTATTAATGCGAAGGTATTATATAAATAATATTAAACAATGCGATAACTTTTCGAGTACCTTTATATTACAAAGTAATTTATTTACTTTTAATACTCAAAAATAAAAAATTACAACAATACCTTTCTCTCTTGGATCAATAATATAATAAAATTTTTAATAAGTGTTTACAAAGTATAGGGCGATACATCGAAGACGAATACAATATAATTATAGTAAATAAAATTCTCGATTTATTTTCTATATTTTCCTTGAATCCATATTCTATACATTTTTAACTGTTTTCCTCTATTCACTTGCAACCTTCTATCCGCTAGATTTTGTTCTTCCACAAACCGACAACTCGTAAATAATGTCGTAACATCTTCTACAAATAAATAGATGGCATTCAATTCTTAGTATAAAGAAAATTTTATGACATAATCATAAACAAAAATGAAATATACCTTGGGTAAAAAAATATACCCTAGTTCCATCCCCTCGAGCATAAAAATTTTCTGCAAGACAACTCCCTTGTTTGAATCTTAATTGAGCTAAATCATATCTTCCGTAATCCCTAAATAAAACTAATCCACCTGGCTTTAAATATTTATGTACTTGTTCGATAACGTGCTTCATTCTGTAAATAAAATGTAATCCATAAATTTCCCTTTAAATTCAACTGCATGGTTTCTTATATTTAATTAAAGAAAATATATACTTGTCAGGATTTATAGCAGAAAGAACAAATATTAATATTACAATGTCTAGACTTTCAGGTTGAAAAGGTGTTTGCCATTTTTCTTGGGTGGCATCCAGAACAAAAGCTTTACATCTAGATGTATCGTATGCAGGATTCTGTTTTAGTATATCTATCGCTCTCGTGGAAAAGTCACAACAATATACAAACAAATTTGGATCTGTATTATACAAAAGTATAGGGAACACTGTGTTTCCTACCCCACACCCAATCTCCAAAATTTTACTTCCATTAGAACTGGGCAGATTGAGAATTTTAATATGAGTTTTCATGCTACTTCCATCTTCATCCTTAATTTCGGATCTCAGAGGTTGCTTAATATTTTGTTTTACAGTAGCTGGGGCTAGCTCTGGAAATTCTGTGAATAACCAGTGTCTATCCTTGAAGAATCTGCATTAAGAATACATCTCGTTCGTATATTCTGTATAAATTAATTATATAATTATTCGTACATATAATTTATCCATGTACTTATTTACGTGTATCCCATAAAATTTGTCCCAATATTTGTTAGCTTCACATTCGTATTCTCGGATTTTTTCATTTGGTAACGTCACGGTTGAATTCTCCACTACTTTTTGTTGAGCCAATTTCTGCTGTTCCTCGTCCCATGTGACGTTGTCCCTTTAAACAATAATTATAAAAGAGCAACGTTCGATCAACTGCAAAGTATATTTAAATCGAATGAAACGGATTAATTATTTTTTTAATTTAAATTGACATTGCCACTGGAATTTGTAGGTTAGGATTTTATAACCTTTGTTAGTAAACGTTAAGTAATAACAGATTTCTACCACGCATTGTGTTGAAATACATTGGTATCATTAGAAAGGATTCTGCTGCCAAATTGAGGCCTCTTTTCGTTCGATTCGTCTTGCTTTACTTCGAACGGATCCTCTGCCATCTTTACCAATATTTACATTCAGTGCTTTGTAGGATAAGCACGCGTGTACCAAGTTACCAACAGTCAACAGTTACCAAGTTCAACCAAGTAACGCGTGATAAGAATGCTTCGGTACCACGTGATTTACGAAGAATCCGATTGGTTCGATAAGGCTCTGTTAGAAATTGGGGCCCTGTCACAAGTCACATGGTTTTGTAAATTACAAAACTTTTGTTGTCGAAAACAGATTAGAAGGCAAGGAAAGTAAATCGTTCTAAAAAAAACTGTGAGATTCGACTTGTAAATGTGCAATAACATCGTTATCTAATCAAATACATTCATATTGTTTAATGCAGGTTAGTAAATGACATCAAAATTGGAGGTTACATCGAGGCGCTCGTTTAAAGATACAGTAAGACCCTAATTAAAAGTCCGAATCGCTGTTCCGAAACAACATCGATATCAAATAACCTCCATGATTATCCTCGCGAAGTAATCCTTTTGCTTTCTATTTCTTTTAATCGATATATCATTTAGGTTTGACATGCATAACAAATTCCCTGGTACAAAATTAAATTTGCTAGAGATCATTGTAATAGGACACTCGCAGATCAACGACCTAGGAGACAGATATAGGTTGAGGGCGCCTGGTATGCGGAAACAGGATGGGTGTGACGCAGAGGGTGCAGGTTGAGGGTGGTACGTTGCGTCATTGGATGATTGGTACCGCACGAACGAATGGTATGATAGCGTTTTTTTTCTTCTCTATTCTCGAATCGATACGACTCTCGAATATCCGTAAAATTTCAATTTGTTCGAGATACATTTAACGACTAAATACACGGTAACTTTTGAATTCGGACACTTTGTAACGTTTACTTTTGTCATTTTATAGGCGTTGCGTTAAAACATCGTGTCTAGTTAACAAACGTTTATCCGTTTAACTCGTTTCGTATGAAATGTTTCGTATGAAATAAGCGAAAGAAAACGATGTCTCGTCGAGTACAGCAGAGTTAAAGTGCATAAAATTCTCCGAAAGAAGCCAGATATAGATTTCCCTCGGCAACACGTTACCAAGGGCTACATGCTTCTTCTTCCGTTACTGCATGGTGCTTCATGGCTCGTCGTGGGTGGCTGCCGTGATGTCCTAATCCCGCTAAGTCCCTAGGGGTGAGATCGATACATCCATTCCTCTTTCCCTCATGTTTTCACGGTGGTTAGTACTCGCTGATTTTTACTGATTCCAAAAAAACATAACAAACGTACGTTTAATAGAAATTTTTTCCATTTATGATTTTCCTGTGATACATACAAATTTGTACAACGATAAGATATTTGGATTCGTTTAATTTTAGATGACGATGGAACGTTAGAAAACGTTCGAGTAGCTTTAGGGTATTCTGTCGACCGGATTGGAGATATGTAATAAAAAATTCTTATTTTGTAGAAATAGAAGAGCATCGATGGTAGAATTCTTAGCGTGGAATTCGGAGACGGAAGGGTTGGCGCAGATGAAGCGTCAGGGAGAAACATGCGCAGAAAAAGCGAAAGAATCAAACATGGAACAGCGGAAACAGGTCCTCGGCTTTTTGCGACAGAACGAAATTTTGTGGAATATTTCGACATCTGGAATCCTATTTAAAAAAAAAAAAAAAAAAAAAAAAAAAAAAACAGAGAAACGATGTAACGAGGACACAGAGCGTGACCCGGATGAAGAATTGGGACGCGAGTAGCCCGCAGTACGAGCTCGATTTAAAAATTGTCAAATAAAAACTAGAATTCTCTGTACGAGCAGGATTCGAAAAGAATCGACAGGTCCAAGTTTGACAAATTATCGGTTATAGGCGTCAGGTCTCGACCGTTTTCCGCGGTATTGTCTCCGGTCCATTTGCTATTTACATTTTACGAGCTGCTGGGGAATTCGGGCTTCGGAGCGTAATTGCCGTGAATACGGGCCAGCATGGCTGTTGATCCGGCTCGAAAAATATAGGGAGAACTGTCGCGATGTTCTGGCTCCGCCCTTGTCTTTCCGAAACGTGTATTCCTCGAGGATGAGGAGAAAGGTACGAAAGGAGGTTACGAACAAATTTGCTTGTTTTTCGTTCGTGTTTAAAAATGTTCTACGGGGATAAAAATTTGTCGTGGATAAAACTATGGATGGATAAGCGTATGTCTCTGCGATATAGACACGTACGTGCGTAAAGGGATGTATGTATATATGGTGTATAGGAAGGACGAGGAGGCTGCGAGGAAGAGGAAAGCGAGTAAAGAAAGCGACAGAAAAAGATAAAGGAGGGAGGGATAGGAGGGCTGGAGGAAAGGAGGAGAGGGCAGGGAGATGCAGAGATAGACAGAGATCGTAGCAAAGGGATGAAAAGGTAGAATGGTCGCGAGAGGGTGAGAGGGAGAGGAAGGAGAGTAGAGAACTCTGCGCGCCGCAGCGCTACGGGGTGGTTGCCCTCGTCTGCGCTTTGTGGGAAATGCCCGCTCAATAACGCGTAGGTCCTCGTCTGCCCCTTCTCACCCTCGGAGGCATCGCAGCAAGGGCCACTGCCCCAAAAGGCATGGCCACCCGTCTAACAACCCTTATCCTACTCTCCCTCCTACCCAGAAGACACTCCTCGAGTCCTCCTCCTCCTTCGAACGTTTCGCGCCGTCCGAAAAGGATCGAACCTTGGTCCTTATGTCCATGTCCATGTCCACGTCAACTCAGGGACGAACCCTGGATCGATGCACCCGGATCGATCGATCTAGCGATCGCAGGAATCGCGAGCGGTTGACCTAAACGGAAGACTTAACCAGAAGACCGTCCTTCGACGACGTCCACCTCCGTGACGTACATTGTACGATATTATCCCGTCAAGTGGAGACAATCAACAGCGATAAATTAGGAGAAACGAGATCGAATTGCTGCACGGATCGCGACAGAGGCACTTACACTCCTCGACAAGGTGACACAACACGCTTAACCCTTCGACACCGATGATGCTGGGTCACTTTTCCGACGTTAATTTCGAAGTCCCATACCTCTGTCATCGAGAGCGTCGAGCCATGTGTTTACATTGTAACTGGATCCGTAGCAATCGGTTCTCCCCGCTATTCGAACTTTTAGCGACAGAAACGTTTCGAACATGATCGCAAAAGAAGTAGTTTTCGGGACAAAATGTTAACGAAAAAAATTGGTTACGAGGCAATATTAATACGGTAATAATATTTGCACGTAAAAATTCGATTCTAAGCCTTCTTTTGTAGCGCGTATGGACTTGGATTTCCGAGATGGAAATATGGACTTGGACTCGGACTCGGTGTCCGAGGGTTAACCATTATCGTATCGAAAAATGTTGCGCTAACGCTACTCGATATGTAAAAAAAAAAAACAAATAAAAAAAAAAAATAAATATACACGTCGAATTGTGTAACATCCTCCTTTTCGAAGTCGGTTAAAAACAACGCGACCGAAGAAAACGCTCGAAGAATCTTGCTCGAGGATGCCTGATACAATTGTTTGAATCCAGTTCAATAACGACGAATAATCAGGATACGGCTCGACGGAATTCATCCCAACGTAGAGATCGCATAGAAGGAAACAGTTCCTATCGAACAAGAAGAATACTTATTGATCCGGCAGGGGGTGGATATAGCGAGTACGGCTTGTACAATACTTAAACGCCATCCGTCGCGAAAACTATAAACGACGCCAATTTACTTCGTTTGACGTTGGAAATTTCATGCAAAACTTATGCGAACGAATCGTTCTCGGAAAGGGTCATCGAGTACCTCCAGGGAACAGAGTCTGTTCAACAGACCCACTACCGAGAAAGTGGATTATTTTCTATTCTCAATCGACCGAGGCCAATTCTACGCTGGTGAAGCTTTACTTGTATATAAAAAATAAAACGACACGAACACGTGCGTAATTTAAATATATATTCTTTTCGCAGAAGTGCGCGTACGACGGGCATACTTTTAGCGAAGCGTCACGATTTCAATGGGATTCGTTAAAAGGTACAGTTTCGCGGAGCGATTCAGGGGGAATAACCCTGCACCACCCTATACCGACGGAATATATAATCTCGGGGTCATTGCCCGAACGATCTTTGGGGGTTCCACCATGCCTGCAACGAGGGTGAGGTGCCTCGGGAGTACCGTGCTGATATCGACCACTTTCCCCAAAAGCTAAAACGCGAAGACGAAATTAAACATCTCGGCCAGTTCCGTTCGTAAATATCTAAAATGTTAACCGACATGCGCACCTGGAAAGAAAACGCTGTAAATAGAAATACGCGGCCGCGAGACAAAGAAATACCTCTGCGCGCGTCTTTATCCTTTATCGCAGTCCAGCGATAACTTTATCGTTCAGGCGCTTTAAATATTTGTTTAAATTGTTTCAGGGTGGAGGATCGCAGCTGCCTCCTTGGTCCCGGTTCGGCGCGTTGTCGCGTATACCGGAAAGACAATCGGTCTCGTTTAAAACGCGTCGAAAGCGATGTAATACCGAGGGATATCGATAGCGTGCGTTAAGGGATTTAACGATCCATCCGTTCGTCGCGCATTCGATTGGTCAATGGGGGTGGGGCGGGCGGGGGGAGGGGGGTGGTGGCGGCGATTTCGTCGCAGAACCGTACACTGCGGTTGGAATAACTTCGATTCGGATTTTACAGCATGCGTGCAAATAGATGCGTAGATACCGGCCGCTCGTATCTATTTATAACGGCGACGGATCGCGGGGCAATTGACCGCGTGGCCTTGACTTCCTGTTGACCCGAGTGCCCCTAGGGAATTTTGGCGTACCTCGTGGAATCTCTTGCCGTGATACTTGAAGGAATTCGTCTAACAAACTTGTTTATAACGCTTCGCGCGAATCGTACCGAAAGAAAAGAAAAAAACAAAAAAAAAGAAAAAACAGCGCGCCAGGTCTAGCACGCCCGAGCACGAGAACAATTTTATTCGAATGATGGACGACGGATAAAATCGAACGAAGAACGATTTATTCGCCAAGTACTCTGTTGGCGACACGCTCGATAGCGAGGATTTATAATCAACGTGTCGATACGCGATCTTCGAAAAATATCGCTCTCGGCCTTCCTGTCGTAACGATTGACGCGTGCCTGCGGGCGGTGTGGCATGTTTACAGCCGAGATATTTATAACGACTTGAAATATCTTTTTAGACGAGCCCTTGTGTGCGATCTACGCCCTAGTTGCTTGCGCGTACGAAGGCAGCGTGCGAAGGGACAGGCGCGAATCGTGATCGATCGAACGAAGCGTGAAAACTAAAAGGAACTTCAAAATCTTTTTGTTTTATCTAAAGAAATAGAATCAAATCGAAAGAAAAGCCTCGGTACTCGCGACACGGCACGACGTGCGAAAAGACAGAGGACAGGAGAGCCCGGAGCTCGTACGGTGTCTCAACGAAATCGGGCGTATCGATTCTCCGCGAATAACTTTGTTTAGCTTACTCGGGTCTACGTGGTTTTTTTCTGCAATCGGTAGGAAACCTGTTCGTACGAGCAACGGAATGTCTGAGTGGCTGCCGTCCTCTCATCTCTTTGCAATTCCACGCGTAGTAGAACGAGTCGACCAGGTGAGATCGTTCATTCTGCAAAGGGACATATTTGTTTCAGACTGCGAGGAGGAGGTGCACGAGTGGACGCGGCGAAATCGAAGTTTGAAAACAACGAGGTGAAACAGGAAGGGGCCGGATGGGCTGGGAAAGGACCAAGGGGGACGTGAAAATAAAACGCTGCAATTCAGGGGGATACCATCGCCGTTCGCGTAAATAGCCAGAACGGACCTTTAAAAATGAATTTCTGAGCGAGATCGGAAAGTTGAACGCGTCGACATCGATATTAAGATAAAAAAAAAAAAAAAAAAAAAAACCAGAAAAGAGTTCTTCTATGTTAAAAATGTTCATCGGCGCCCCGATAACAGGGATTTCATTCATCTCCCGTCTGTTGACAGATATTTGAATTTATTTCTACCAGCGTCGGCCGCATTACGGTTCACATCGAAGCTGATCGGGCAACGAATATTAATTGGACGTCGAGGTGCAGGGATAAGACTAGAAAGAACAACGTAACGGAGAAGAAAGGAGGCAGAAAGAGACGGATAAACTCGTAGGAGGTTGTGGAGGATGTCGAGAAATGAAGGCCAACGGCCTTGACCTTGTCCGTGACTTCGTAGTGAATGAGAGAGAAAGAGAAGGAGAGATACAAGAAAATACACCGGTCAAAACAAAGTGGCCTGCTTTCTTCTTCACCTTCGGTGTCTACGTGGCCACGACAGGCAAATTCAGGTAAACGGGCAATCGATATTAACGACCAAGACGCCGGGTACCCACGGTACCCTAGAAACGACCCCGGACGCGCAAAGGCCAAGAAAATTCGGTTCGGTGATCGTGGATTCACCGAAGGATGCCCGCTGACTCAGCCTCGTTTGTTTGGATAACGACGAAACCTATTAAACGGAATTACAAGCTATTAGAACGGAAGGGTACGTAATTTTCAGGTTTCGGCGAAAACGTAAATGCAGCTATTCTTATCTCTGAAAAATGACTCTTCGTATTTACGTGTATACTTAAGCCTGATAAGTCGGAACATCGACCAACTGTTTCTTATTTGCATCGAAGCCCCGATCGAGTCCTTAGTACGTAACGGTCTCGTCACGACCGAATGTTTTTTTTTTTTTTTTTTTCAATTTTAGGTTTACGCTATCCATCTTTCAATTATTCGTATCGCCGTTTGATTTTATTACGTGTCATCCATCGAAAATGTTGCAGCGTAAGGTAACCGGGAAATCGTACGACAAAAATAATTAAGATTAACGATGTTACGGACGAATGACTGATTAATTCGTAGAAAGCTGGCAATGTTGCAGAACTTTCTCGGTATCGGTTTAGAAGGTATGAAATTTTCCGGCACGATACAAAATCGCACAGACAAGATTGTACGATAACGAGTAATTTATATTTATTTTTATAGTTCTTCCTAAGGTTTTCGCAAAGTAGAGGCATATGTCCGAACATCTGTTCGTCATAAAGTCAACATTATCGTTAGCGAAAGTATTGTTATCGTAATGGTAAACTTCTTGTAACTATAGACACGCGCGATAAGCTCGGTGATGATATAAGTGAAATGTACGGTTAGTTCCTTACGTCTAGTTCTTGGCAACGTGTAAACTACTCGTAATGTTACTTCCGATACATCGCAAAATTTATCCATCTCATTTGTGTCGGTGTTTGTTTGATTAAATCTAACGATTTCATGGACGGTATATCGAATGCAAAACAAAATGTATGCATAAGAATCGTATTATAGCAGATAAGATTGTTTTACAGTCTAATTGTAACCTAAAATCTAATGTAAACATGAGATGAACGAAAAGATGTCGTTGCGAAGAAGAAAATGAAAATAAAAGGCACCTAATGAGTTGGTACGCCAATGGACGAAAATCTCCGTACGATTAGAAATGTAAAGATCATTTTTAGTCTACTCTCGATACGCGATAAAAAGAAGAAAATTTACCGATAACGATGTAATAGAGCCGCTCTCGAAGACTGCGAGTGGATCAATTTAGCGAAACGCGTTACAGCGCGAACTCGATCGATTTAGATTGAAGATTGCAGCCCGTTTTGTCTATGAGGGTTCTATGAATGAGAAATGTCGATGACCGCGAAGAAAATTACCGTGGTTTGCCGTTGAAAAAAGGGAATAAAAAGCGAGAGGAAAATCTCGTCTCCTGACCTCGAGGGAGTAGGAGAAGTGAGTGAGGTCGTTCCACGATCGATAACGCGAGTCTCTCGCAAGAAGGTGCGAAAGAACCTCGTCGGGCACCAACGAAAGGGCCGAAAGAATCGATCTCGTCCTATGAAAAGAAAGAGAGAGAGTGAGAGACCTTAATACAACCTACCGGTTTTTCTTCTTTAACAAACGCTCGACGAACGAGCGAGGAGAGACTCGGTACTATCTCAGGTAGATTTCTACATAAGAGGGCATACGGCACACACGTTTATTGCCGCATCGCGAAGGGTCGCGTATACGGGGGTGAGTGTACCACCCGCCACTGTCTGTCATCTGTTTTCTCTCTCTTCTTTTTTCATTCTCTTCCCTCGTATCGTCCTTCGTTTTCCGTCTTCGTTTATCGCGCGAGCGCTCTTGATCGCAGTCTCCGTCGTCCTCACCGCTCGTTCATTCGCATGCCTGCCAACTGCGCCACGCCGAAACTCGTCGAGAAAACCGCGGTGATCACGGTCCCTCTCTCCTCTGCGTCATTCGTTAGGTAGTAGCTTCCATCCTCGTCGTACCGCACGAACGGCCGTTTGTTGCCTCTTCGTCGCACTCGCAGAGCTCGTAAGATATCGCTCGCGTACCGTGATACCATGGACCAGGGCCGTCATCAGGCAGGGTCACGTGCCCCTAGGCGCCACGTTACGAGGGCGCCTTTACAAGTAATAAGATTAACGCTCTAGTTTGATATAAAACCTAACGACGAGGTAAACGACCAACAACTCGCGAGGAAAATTGATCGTTTCGAGCGGTAAACGAGAGAAAACGTTGTTCGATTCCAAGTCGATGATTTCGCCATTTGACAATTTTTGTTTCTAATATGGAACACGTGGCTATTGTACAAAACGGTCGAATAACGTGTAACATATTTCTAGATATGGTAGTTACGGTAACTTATCGCGAAAGAGTATTTAGTAGACTGAAACTAATTAAAATTTATCTCGGGTCGATCGCGTGCCAAGAATGACTTTGCGGTTTGGCAACATTGTCGACGGACGATCAAATTGCAACAA